TTTTCGGTAACGAAATCCCGAAAACAGTTCGGGATGTAGCATACAAATGAGACTTAGTAAGTTATCGTAAATCCCAAAGTGTTTTTCAGTAACAGACGAAAAACTTTGCGATAGAACGTAGAAACGAGACTCAGTATAATCCAAAAAATCCCGAAGTGAATTTTAGTAACGAAATTCCGAAAACACTTCAGGATATATCGTAGAAATGAAACTCGGTAAAATCCCGAAAATCGCGAAGTGTATTTTGGTAACGAAATTCTGAAAACACTGCGGGATGTATCGTAGAAACGGGACCAAGAAGAATCCCGAAAATCCCGAAGTGCATTTCGGTAACGAAATCCCGAAAATACTTTGGGATATAACGTAGAAACGAGACTCGGTAAAATCCCAAAACTCTTAAAGTGTATTTTGATAACGAAATTCTGAAAATTTTCGGGATATAACATAGAAAAGAGACTCAGGAAAATCCCGTAAATCTTGAAGTGTTTTTCGGTAACGAAATCTTAAAAACATTTGGGGATATAACATAAGAACGAGACTGTAAATTCTCGAAACCCAAAAGTGTATTCTGATAATATATCCCGAAAACACATTAGATTCTGGATACAACGTAGAAATGAGACTCCGTGAAACGCTGAAATCTTGAAAATTCTGAAGTTTATATCAGTAGGGAAATCCTGATTTTCACGAATTTTACAAGATCTTGGAATTTTTTTACAATTTTTAAAATTTTCATGAATTTTCGGGAATTTCATGATTGTTGGGATAATGTAAAAAGAGAACATTTTGAAGTGTATTTCGACAATAAAATCCCGATTTTCACAAATTTTTCAGGTTTCGGATTTTTCTAGCAAGTTCAGGAATTTCAAGATTCTCGGGGTAACATAGATACAGGACATCCTGAAGTGTTTTTTCGATGTCGAAATCTCGATTTTCATGGTTTATTAGGATTTTCGTAAGCTTTTCACTAGTTTTTTGTTTTCGTGAATTTTCAGGAATTTCAGAATTGTCAAGATAACGTAAAAACGAGACTTAGTTTAGGGTTTTTTTTATTTTACAAAGTCATCTTCGCCAATAACAAACGACGAATTCGGTAAAAGTTCGCTAACAAGCTTCGCTAGTCAATTCGGAGAATTTTTTGAACCCCATTAGTCACGAGTGCACTCTATTCTTCACTTCGGTATCAAGCGCCGTTTTCGTTCACAACTTTCATTCAAACCTTCGCGAATTTCACCCCTTCACATTTCTCACAGCTTTAAGGATCGCCCAAGGGAGGGGGCAATTTCGAAACTTTACTTATTTCACCACTTCAGTTCGTTCATAATTTTCACCACCGCCCAAGACAGGGGAGAGAGTGATTTCAAGACTTCACTAATTTCAACACTTAAGTTCGTTCACAACTTTAACTATCCTCCAGGCAGGGAGCAGACAATTTAATGCCTTCACTCAATTCACCACTTAAGTTCATTGACAACTTTCACTATCCTACAAGCAGGTTGCTAAGGGGGGGGAAGTGACAATTTCAAGCCTTCACGAATTTCACCACTTCAGTTCGTTCACAACTTTCACTATCATCTAAGTAAGAGGTAAGGGATGATTTCATACCTTCACTGATTTCACCACTTCAGTTCGTTCACAACTTTCACCTTTTTCACAATTCTCATGACCGTCCCAAAGACAGGGAGGGGGCATAGACAATAATGAAAGTTGTGAACGAACTGGAGTGATGAAATTAGTTAAGGCCAGAAATTGCCCCTTCCGTCCTCCCCCCGTCTTGGTTGAACGGTAGTGAATGTTGTGAACGAACCGAAGTGATAAAATTTGTGAAAGTTTGAAATGACACCCCTCTTCGCTTTGGCATAGACGGTACTGAAAGTTGTGAATAAACTGAAGTGGTGAAATTCGTGAAGGTCTTAAATTACCTCTTTTGTCCTCTCCCGCTCTTGCTTTGACGGTACTGAAGGTTGTGAGCAAACTGAAGTGGTGAAATTTGTTAAGGTTTAAAATTGTCTTTCCGTCCTCTCCCTCGTTACTTGGAAGGTAGTGAGGGTTATGAACAAACTGAAGTGGTGAAATTGTTGAAGGTCTGAAACGGCACCCCTCTTCCTCTCGGTATAGACGATGGTAAAAGTTGTGAACAAACTGAATGGGTGCAATTGGTGAAGGCATAAAATTGCACATCCCCCCCGCTCCTGCATAGTCGATACTAAATGTTGTGAATAAACTGAAGTCGTGAAATTCGTGAAGGCATGAAATTGTCCATTTCCATCCTCCTCCCTCGTGCATAGATGGTAGTGAAGGTTGTGAACAAACCGAAAAAGTTAAACTAGTGAAGACCTGAAATTGCCTCTTTCGATTCCTTCCCCTTGCTTCGACAGTAGTGAAGGTTGTGAACGAATTTAAGTGATGAAATTGTTGAAGGTCTGAAATGCCACCCCCCTTCCCCTCGACGAAGACGATAGTGAAAATTGTGAACAAACTGAATGTGAAATTCGTGAAGGCCTGAAATTGGCTCTTCCGTCCTTCTTCCCCCCACTACCTTCGACAGTAGTGAAGGTTTTGAACAAATTGAAGTGGTGAAATTTTTGAAAGGCTAAAATGATACCTCCCTTCCCCTCAGCTCAGACGACAGTGAAAGTTGTGAACGAACTTCAGTGTGACAATTTGTGAAGGCCTGAAATTATCACTTTCGTTCCCCCCTCCCCCCTAGTTTTGACGGTACTGAAGGTTGTGAACGAACTGAAGTGTTGAAAATTGTGAAAACCTGAAATTACACCCCTCATCCCCTTAGCATAGACGATAGAGAAAATTGTAAACAAACAAAAGTGGTAAAATCGATGAAGCCATGAAATTGCACCCTCCTCCCCCCCCCCGCCTCCTGCATAGTCGATACTGAAAGTTGTGAATAAACTTAAGTGGTGAAATTTGTGAAGGCCTGAAATTGACCCTTCTGTTTTCTTTCGCTCTTGCTTTTACGGTAGTGACGGTTGTGAACGAACTGAAGTGATGAAATTTGTGAAGGCCTCAAAATGTCCCTCTCGTCCTTTCCGTCCTTGCTTAGACAGTAGTGAAGGTTGTGAACAAACTGAAGTGGATAAATTTTTGAAGGTCTGAAACGACACCCCTATTCCCCTCGGCATAAACGATAGATAAAGTTGTGATTAAACTGGAGTGGTGAATCAGTGAAGGCATGAAATTGCAACCTCCCCCTCTCCTGCATAGTCAATAGTGAAGTTGTGAATAAACTGAAGTGGTGAAATTCGTGAAGGTCTTAAATTGCTCCTTTCCGCCTTCCCCCCCTTGTGCATACACGATAGTGAAGGTTGTGAATGAGCCGAACTGGTGAATTTAGTGAAGGCCTGAAATTACCCCTTCCGTCCTCCCCCCCTCTTGCTTGGACGACAATGAGAATATGAACGAACCAAAGTGGTTGCCTGAAATTACCCCCGAAGTGGTGAAATTTGTGAAGGCTTGAAATTGCACCCCCCTTCCCCTTGGCATAGCCGATAGTGAAAGTTGTGAAAAAACTAAAGTGGTGAAATCGGTAAAGGCATGAAATTGCACCCCCCCCCTCCTGAATAGTTGAAAGTGAAAGTTGTGAACAAACTAAAGTGGTGAAATTCGTGAAGGCTTGAAATTACCTCTTCCGTCCTCCCTTGTTCTTGCTTGAACGGTAGTGAAGGTTGTGAAAGAAGTGAAGTGGTGAAATTTGCGAAGACCTGAAATTATCCCTTTCGTCCTCCCCCCTTGCTTGAACAATATTGAAGGTTGTTAACAAACTGAAGTGGTGAAATTTTTGATGGCCTGAAACTACATCCTCCTTCCCCTCGGCTAAGACGATAGTGAAAGTTATGAACGAAATGCAGTACGAAATTCGTGAAGGTCTGAAACTGCCTGTTCCGTTCCCCCCCCCCTGCTTAGATTGTACTGAAGTTTTAAGGCATGAAACGACGCGCCTCTTCCCTTCGGCTTAGACGATAGTGAAAGTTGTGAACAAACGGAAGCGGTGAAATTCGTGAAGACGTGAAATTGTCCTTTCGTCCCCCCCACCTCCCCAGGTTGGACGGTAGTCAAGGTTGTGAACGAACTGAAGTGTTCAAATTTGTGAAAGGCCTGAAATTGCACCCCCCTTCCCCTTGGCACATACGATAGTGAATGTTGTGAACAAACTGAAGTGGTGAAATCGATAGAGGTATGAAATTGCACCCCCCTCCCCCCCCGCTCTCCTACATAGTCGATAGTGAAAGTTCTGAATAAACTTCAGTGGTGAACTTCGTAAAGGCCTGAAGTTGCCCTTTTCATCCTCCTTCCCATTTACTTCAATAGTGGTGAACGTTGTGAACAAACTGAAGTGGTGAAATTTTTGTTGAGGTTCGAAATTGCCCCTTACGTCCTTCCCTCCCTAGCTTGGACGGTAGTGCGAGGACGATAGTGAATGTTGCGACTAAACTGAAAGTTGTGAAAAAATGGGAGGGGAAGATGCCGACTGAAAAACATCTTAGTAAAAGGCCAACAATGTATACCTTAAAACGTTTCAAGAATGTTGAACAAAACATTGATCTGAAATGATGGAAACCATGACTGCAAACCGAGTACTTCTAGCACAGTGAAAAAAAAAGGTGTCGTTAACTTTCTCTCCATATTCTAGGCATATATGTAGATGGCGTGCAAAACCACCAGGCCTTCTCAGCCCCCTTTCCTACGAAAATGAAAATGGACTTCCCCGAACTGTTCACTTAGAGCCTCAGGCGGTGCTAGAAATAGGCAAGTAGAGGCAAACGGCGATGCCCGAAATAGGCAAGTAGAGGCAAACAGCGACGGAATCCGGTCAAACTTTAGGGAGATCTTCGACAGAGGACATATGAAGTAACGTGGACGTCTGATATTGTTTGGGCCACCAAATGCAGATCTGTGTTTTCGGCTCTCCCTCCCCTAGTAAAACTAACAAAAACTGAAAAATCGTGAATCTGGGTTTTTCGCAGTCCGAGTTTTTTTCTACAGATCTGAATATTGCAAAGTCTATATGTCTGCTGCAAGTCTGTATTTTGCAACTCTGATTTTTTCTGATAATTCGGACGTCAACGCCACACAAGGAGGTAGGGGCTAGAAGCCTAGGGTCCGCCATARCCAAGCACCTTCGCACCTTCTTCCACCTTCACCTCCTTCACCCATCCATCATARCCAAGTACCTTCGGACCTTCTTCCACCTCCGCCTCCTTCACCCATTCAMTATARCCGAGTACCTTCACACCTTYTTCCACCTCCACCCCCTTCACCCATCCGCCATAGCAAAGTAYCTTCACACCTTCCTCCACCTCCACCTCCYTCACCCWTCCACCACAGCTATGTACCTTCACACCTTCKCCCACCTCTACCGCCTTCGCTCATCCATCACASTCAAGAACCTTCACATCTTCTTCCMCGTCAACCTCCTTCACCCATCTGTCATAGCCAAGTACCTTCACACCTTCRTCCACCTCCACCTCCTTCACCCATCTACCATAGTCAAGTACCTTCACACCTTCTTCCACCTCCACCTCTTTCACTCATCCACCATAGCCAAGTACCTTCACACCTTCTTCCACATCCACCTCCTTCACCCATCCACCATAGCCAAGTACCTTCACACCTTCCTCCATTTCCACCTCCTTCACCAATCCACCATAGTCAAGTACCTTCASACCTTYYTCCACCTCCACCTCTTTCACCCATCCACCATAGCCAAGCACCTTCACACCTTCTTCCACCTCCACCTCCTTCATCCATCCACCATAGCTAAGTACCTTCACACCTTCTTCCACCTCCACCTCCTTCGTCCATCCACCATAGCCAAGTACCTTCACACCTTCTTCCACCTCCACCTCCTTCGCCCATCCACCATAGCCAAGTACCTTCACACCTTCCTCCACCTCCACCTCCTTCACCCATCCACCATAGCCAAGTACCTTCACAGTTTCTTCCACCTTCACCTCCTTCACCTCCTTCACCCATCCACCATAGCCAAGTCCCTTCACAGTTTTTTCCACCTTCACCTCCTTCACCTATCCACCATAGCCAAGTACCTTCATACCTTCTTCCACCTCCACCTCCTTCACCCATCCACCATAGCCAAGTACCTTCACACCTTCTTCCTCCTCCACCTCCTTCACCCATCCGCCATAGCCAAGTACCTTCACACCTTTTTCCGCCTCCACCTCCTTCACACATCCCCCATAGCCAAGTACCTTCNCATCCGCCATAGCCAAGTACCTTCACACCTTTTTCCGCCTCCACCTCCTTCACACATCCCCCATAGCCAAGTACCTTCACACCTTCTTCCACCTCTACCTCCTTCACCCATCCACTATGGCCACGTACCTCCACACCTTCTCCCACCTCCACCTCTTTCGCCCATCCATGATAGTCAAGTACCTTCACACCTTCTTTCACCTTCACCTCCCTCACCCATCTACCATAGCCAAGTACTTTCACACCTTCTTCCACCTCCACCTTTCTCACATATCCATCATAGCCTAGTACCTTCACACCTTTTTTCCACATCCACCTCCTTCACCCCTCCGCCATAGCCAAGTAACTTCACACCTTCTTCCACCTCAAATTCCTTACCTTATTTGCCATAGCCAAATACCTTCACACCTTCTTCCACCCCCTCCGTCACCGATCAATGTCGCGGCCCAAGGTATATAGGGCAGTGAGTCATCGAAGGAGTTATAGGTAGGACGTAGGACGGGTAGGGGGTAAGTTGGATTAGGCTTAGGAGGTCTCTCTCTCCCTCTCCTTCTCTCTCTCTCTCTCTCTGTCTCTCTCTCTCTCTCTGTCTCTCTCTTTCTTTCTCTCTCTCTCTCTCCCTCTCTCTCTCTCTCTCTCTCTTCTTCTTTCTATTTTTCTCTTCCACTCTCGTTCTCCCCTTTTCTCGTTCTCTCCTCCTCCTTCCTAGCCTTCAAAGGGCTATCTCTTCCTTCTCTTGCAAATCCCAAGGTCAATCCTCACCCTCACTCCTCTTTCTCCTTGACATACAACTAACTCCTCCCTTGCTCACTTGTTACATTGTCATGGTATGAAAGGTAAAAGAACCTTGAATCTCACTTGGTGGAAGAAGAGGGCAACGGGGGGGCTGTCGGCCCCTTGTGCCACCAAGAAGATAAGAAAGAGAAGAGTTTGACGAACTTGACGGTTGACAAAGTCCGAGAAGGACTAGAAAAGATTTGCTAAGCAAGAGAAAGGTCAGTTGACTCAACCAAAATCCCTATTGCGTGACTAAGAAAAGAGGATGTTTTTTGTTGAAGGAAACAAAATGAGAAGGAAAATAACTCAACGACATGGAAATTAGGCATGTGGGAGGGACTATGTGTTGACCCCGAATGGGGGTTGTAGCTGTTTTGCATTGTGATTGAGTGTGCAGGTAAGTAGCCTTGGGATGTCTCGAGCGAGACTGTGTCCGAGTATGTCGGGCGACAAAGAGAAAAGAAAGGACAAAGGCCAAGCGACCGTGGACGTAAAMTTTGTCTATGATTGGGACCTTTGTATATGCAACCTTTGAGTATGGATGAAAAAAAGGAAGGGATGTTGCGTATTGGCTAAAATGTTGCCTAGTGTCGGGCGGTTGAAATGGCCGCCAATTCCTTTGAGTATGAGGGTAGGGACCTCGGAAAACTACATGGTACTTAGGGAAGCAATAAACATAATGCATGATGTATGAAGATAATGAGTGCTAGTGCGTAGACAGGCTAAGTGGGAGAACGACGTTTTCACACATTGATGAAGCCTAGGACCGTTGTGTTAGGGAATGGATGCAAGGTTTAAGGACGATGCTTAACCTGCGTATAATGGAAGAAAAGTCTCAAGGATCTCCCTGGACTGCCTGTGTATTGTAAGGAGCAATTGCATGAGAACACAAGCCAAGTATCAAGAAAAGGACGCCTGCGAGTTAATAGCCAAATTGCCGCACTACCGAGAAAGTTCAGCTACATCCCCAATGTTGAAGTTGTCTCGCTCAATGGCCCACCCCCATCGATCTCAAAGCACTAGGTGGGGGTGACCCTGTGATGAATGGCTCCGCACTCTGAGCATGAGTGTGGGCGGGGCCGAGCCAACTGGGACCTGTAGAAGGGTCGATTCAGACTCAAAAGTCTAACAGGGGGAGGCCCTACAAAAATGGTGGAGGTGCCGGGTATGGGGTTAAACCGACCCTTACCATTACGGAGGGGGGCGACCAACGTATGACCGTGTACATAACCAAAGAGAAGGAATAAGGACTTAAGATTGTTTTTTTCCTTAAGAGAATCAGATTTGAGGGTGCTTGGGCACATGGCACAACCATGCTTGGAGGAATGACATGCATGCTTACACCTTTGATCAACACGCTCCTTTTTGGGCAGTGGCTCTAGCTCCCTTACTTCTGGCGCCGGTGTTCACCAGTTCCGGGGAGGAATGTGACAAGTCGCAGGTCGACCCTTCCTCTTCGTTTGAAAGAAGGGCTCCGGTTACCTTGCGAGAGGTTCATGCTCCAACTTCGGCCGGGGGCCAATGAAAATATCGACGACGGAGTGATTCGACCGGATGGGTGTTCTTTTTTATGCTTCTTCTGGACCTAGCGGACCCTTGCACTAAACACTTTGAATTGCTTGAAGGACCGACATGAACACAATGGTCATCAAGAAGGAACAATCCTGCCCTATGAAACGACAGACAAAGGAAGAGAATGAGAATGAAGGGAGTTGCTAGACTTCAAGGAAAACTAGCGCACTCTTAAAGTTGCTCACGAGAAGGTATCAACCACTATGTATGGAAAATAGGGGGAGTGACACACACTATCCTGAGAGAAAATGCAAGGTATGGGTAGGATGCACAGGATGCACTAAGGAAAAAACACTTGTTCTATGTATGTCCTACTTGGGACTTGTGAACTGCTTGAGGGGAACTGAGCGTTCTGTCCGCGGAAAGGAAGGAAGGGGGTCTGCGCCAGCTGGGGTGGGTTGCGAAACGTCGTTTTCTGTAGGTGATCCTTTTGTCTCATGTGTGGCAGATTGGTCCACCCGACTGTCGGAAGGACTTAGTCTCGCCTGGTTGACTAGTAACACTCTCTCCAGGGCGGACCGAGCATGGCTCGACACCTTGCCCGACGGAATGCGAAATGTCTCATCGAACGGGGCAGTTGCTTGTCAGCAGACGGAGGAAAGATCACTGCATATGGGGCAAGGAGGGCACCTTGGGGACGATTAGTAACTTCACAAAGTACGGTATGAGAAAGACAAACTCCTAACGAACCAACGGATGTGAATGCCCGGACAACTAACCTTTGCTCCTACCGGCGGTACGCGGGGTGATTGTCGGTATTAACGGAGGTGTAGAAAGGCGGCAAGAAGAGATGGGGTACTTTGGGTAAACGGAGAGGGGTGATACCCTGTGACGGAGTTGAGGTACTGCGCTTGTGATGGTTGAAATGTGCTTGAGGTATGGGATAAAACTCTGCTGAAAGTAATAGTGGAGAGACGATATTGAGAAAAGACCGATGAGGAGATGATCGGCCCCCATGTGAGATTGCCTGCGTTTTTCTTTTGTAATCCTCCTTTGTAAAGTTTGGTTAAGGGGTAAGCTGTTGGGAAGGACCATGTTTCAAGTTTATTCTTAACCCTCGCCTAAGTCACATAAGTGAGTGAGGATCATGAGGAACTAGATAGAGGTTAGTTTTGAATGAAACCAAGAAAACGAATATGGGTGAAAGGGACCGATCGAGGGTATTCAGACTTGGAGGAAACTTGAGAATGGGGAGGTAGATCATGCTAGACCTTGATGAGGGGTCTGAAAATATTATCATCTTGGATTTATGCTGATCGAATCTAAGGACCGGGGTCGGTGCTCGGTTGTGAAAAACAAGGATCGGGTGCTGGGACCAAGATGGCGCGGTCGCTAGCGTCTCCAATTTATTCCAACGGACCGGAAATGTCAGTAGATGTAAAAGATGGGGTATCCATCGTTCTGCCTGAAGAAGGGACCTGGACAGATCTAGAGCCAGCATATCACAATGTGATGTTGGGCGAAGGGGATGCCTTCCTTTGGATAGAAACTTTGTAGACCAAGGTCAGCCTGACGCGGTTGACGCCGAGTTTGACTGATATGGAATTTCGAAAGACAGTGGAGGCCGAGGGGTGGATCTACCTATCACAGGAAGAGGAAAACGCAATGGTTGTGAACTTGGCATTGGGGGTAGTCCTTTACAGACTGTTTATGTGGGCGGAACGAGAAGTAGTATGGACTGCATGCCAGTGGGCGGAAATGGAAATGGATGAAATAGATATGCAAGTGTAACTTGGGGATAGAGGAAATGTGAGGCGGCCACGTAGAACGATGAGGTGCGTGCTGCCTCCATTCTTGGTAGACGTTGTCGAACCAAATAAGGGTATTTGGCCATGTTTTTACAGTCGACACAACGATTGCACCGATCACCATAACGGAGTCAGTCTGAACTTAAAAGTGTACGCGTTCTTTGCGCGACACTTTAAAGCGATTTCCTCGACTATTAAGGTCGGGGCAAATCGCTGAGAAAATAGGATGCGCACGCATTATTGTGACGCGCGCTCTGATGGTTAGAATCGGTAGTAATACCCTTTGACCGAAGAGATCAAGGGGTCGGTTGGATTAGTGTTGTGTCAAGTAGATCTACGACACATACTAAAACTTAATCATCGGTACGTTAGACACCCCTGCCATACGGCCCAGACGGTTAAAAATGTGTGCTCAACGAGATTGCAATAGCACCCAGAAATGCTAAAGCTTACCCGAGCGGCATGTCATGCAAAACTTGTATTTCCTCAACCTGAGGCTGAAGCTATGGCTCGGTTTCCCATGTGTAACGACTCTAACGAGGCATTTGACTCTTTGGCAAAGACTTCTAGGCCAATGGACCTCAAGAGAAACTAGTACCTCGTCCTTTCTTTTGGATGGAAACATCATCGAGGACTTTTATATCACTCGCACATCCCTTGGACTCTGGATACGTGAACTAGTACCGGCCTATCTACCGCTACTAGGTCTTAAAAAAAAAAAAAAAAAAAAAAAACTGCTAACTTTTGTCTTCTTCTGGGTGGCCTCGAGTACCCGACACAACTACCTCTACTAGGTGCAGTACCCACCAGCCCGCCGCTTGAGTGTTTTCCCCACCGCGACCCTCAATGTCACGACCTTAGTTACTTGTCGGGCCTTCGAGCCTTCCGATCAACCAAGTGCTCTTGCGGGTCACACACGCACTCAAGCCGACAAACACTCTGACAGGCACACGAACCAGCAAGTGTGCACACACAGACACTTAGAATTGGGCTTTGGCCACTAGGCGGACCGAGCCCCACTGCTTTACTTATAGCAAAATTGACCCCCTT